AAATCAAAGTATTAATAAATGAAAATGAGCCACCGTGCCACATAAACTTCAATAATTTGTTATTGGCTAAATGTAGGCCACTGGCCAACACTTCAAATACTAATGCAATAAACCGGTATGACTGGTGCTACTCGAAGATTATCAATCATTCCCAATCGAACAAATTGACCTAAATAATTAAAGAAAATATAGATTTGCGAATCATAACATGTACCATAGAACCATAAAACCCGGTACAACTTATGTCTTAAAAACTGTAGCAATTGTAATAATAAACTTATCGAATGCAGATAAAATTTTCAATCATAAATATAAAAAATTCAATATAGCATATGTTAAGTATTGAAAAAAAACACGATTTTTTAATTTTGTTTTTAAATAACAATAAATGAAACGCTATAAAAAATTAAATCAAAATGAAATAAATAAAAAAAAATACATACAAGCACCTTACTGGTAACTGTTCCGGGTGTTTTTATTATCTGCGAATTGTTGTGTCGGTTAACACTTGAGAAAGTGAAGCTCGTAAAAGGGCGCGCAAACTCCCGCGCTGCGTACCTATAGCAACTGTCGGAATGGCGGGCAAGGTGCGAACATAACCGCACGGCGCCGTTAGTGTACAAACGTTTATTTTTAAACCAAAACCGCACGTATAATCTAATTCATTGAACCAACATGGTAAAATGCGAACGGAGTGCTCTATTTTGGAAATTCTGCAACCATACATTGCTTACTACTGATCGTTCTAGTACCTGGTGAAGTAATCGATTAAACTAATTCATATGATGCAGTTTTTAAAACATAGAATGTATAAATGACTTACTATTTAATTAAAAAGGATAAAAACAAGACAAAGCACCTGTGTGCATTTTTCGAATATTATAAAACAAGTTATATTACAAGTGTGCCCGTTTGCCTGTTCACGTTTCATTTCAAGCCGAAACCCAAGCGTTTTCGAGGATAAACAATTAGAAAGTCTTTATAATTAATAAAAACTTTGTTAAAACAATAAACCTTTCAAAAATAAAAATAAAAGTTAGAGACCGGAAATTATTTACACCAATGTTATATTAGTAGCAACGCCCCACCATGGCTTAGCTTAGGTGGAATGCTAATTCGACTGTCATTTTAGTTAGAACGTCTCTGAAAACAATTGTTTTTCAACCATCGACGTAGCTTACGCCACTCAAGCTCTCAAGTAGGGCCTCGCGGCTGCTTTTGCCGATGCACGAATGTGCAGGCTCGACCGGAGAAGACAGGCGAGGACTGGAAGTATATACACTTTTGTGAGAACCTATAGGCCAGAGGTTGGCAGCCCACCATCACAACTGCACCGCTCACCAACAGACTGCAAACGACTTTGAAAAAAGAAGTTGTTGACGATTCGGTTCTATTGTTTTTAAACGGTTTTATTTAGCTCGACCCGTACGGAATTTGTTTGTTTATTTATTTGGGTCAAAATTAGAAATTGAAATTTAAGCACCTTGCCGTTGTCAGATTGATCTGAAATTTGGTACACACATTTAATTTAGATGACAATACAATATTAACAAAAAAAAAAATTTAACAAAAAAAAAACCATAAAATAAAACCGTTTAACTTAAAAGTTTTTTAAAGTAATTATATGTTTGTCACTTCGGAATTTCGAAGTATGAATAGATTTTAAAAATTCTTTTTGCATCGAGTTCGATTTATCTCCCATGTGGTCCCATATTAATTCCATTGCTATTAGACATCGGACAACAGAGATATTATTTCGGAGAACTAAACCAAATAGAATTGTAAACGGAATGAGATGTTTCCAGTCGGTTTTGGTTTTGTTAATAAAATTTACTTTCATGATAAAATGTAAACTTCACGTATGTATGTATATCTAAATTGTTATGGTTAGTTTATTAATGGAAGTTTTTTGTTAAATATTTTATGATGAGTAAGCGAACTGATGTTCTTATTGGAATAAACGTCTCCAAAACGAACCACAAAACCGTATCACACCCAATAGCATGTCCTAAACATTCTGTTGGGTGTGAAATCAAAACTTAATGATTTTACGTTAGCATTGAGTATCTAAATTGAAAATAAAAGCGAATGTTGTATCGATCATCCAACCGTCTTGTGAATCATCAGTATTTCGCAGCCACTGGAAGTATGCGGGATATAAACCAGGGGGTGTTTCAAGACATCGGACGTCACCAGAGCGAATGGAACTATGTATTTTCGAACGCCGATATTTTTACGTTGTAAATATCTAATTTGTTATGATGACGCACTTAAGGTCGTGTTATGGATACTTAAGCTTTACCTAGCATGACCCCCTTATGTGTTCACCATATGTAAACACTAAAACAAGAATAATTTTGCCACGTTTAATTTGCCATCATTGGGAGTTGTGATTATTAAATAATAAGAAACGGATCATTTTTGACTAAAATGAATCATTAGTAATAAATAAATTATGATACGTGCGATAAAATGATTACATTATGATGATTATCTTTAAGCGCCGACCAAACAATTTTTTGACGTTCAAGAAGAGCATAAAGTATTGAATATAGAAATTTTGATTTTGACTTCAACTTTTACGTATTTTACACCAAATATGTCTACTAAGGTATAAGCTTCAAAGTCAAAACGTTACATTTTTTGATATTCGCAAACTGACTCGTAAAAATCTTAATAGAATCGTGTTATTTCACTAAGAGCCGCAATAGCTCATTGCCCTGGCCCTCGCTTTTAATTCAATATACAACACTAGCAACCTGTCTACTAACTAGTTCAAGTCTTATATTCAAGTTTATTATATTTTATAATATTACATTATTATATTCAATAATGTTTATACGGGACCCTTGAGGCGCGAGCTATACTGAATGTTTTCTATGATTCTATGATTTCTCTAGGTTTCAATGCAAACCTCATTACTTTTGCAAATCCATTAGTGTCTACAACACGACGTTTATGAGATCCAAGTTTCATCGGCGGGGCCACTAAGTTTACGACACGCGGGTAATTTGTAGAAGGGCTATTAACGCATGAATGGGAGCACAGTTGCACCTCATTAATAGTGTCATGGCCCGACACGGCCCATTGGAAAAGCGGAGGCGGAATTTGTCTTGTCCGCTCGAAAATACAGCAACAATCAATAAAACAAAAGTAATACAAAGTTCTCTAGATACGATTTACGAGTTTTAACGTTTCCCTAGATAGGTTGGAACGTTGATAAGTCGATTACCTTGCCAGAGACAGAAGTCCTCGCTGGAAAAGGTAATAAAGGATTTTTCCAGGCCGCTGTTGCATTTTACAAATTTATACACACTACTATATTATTAGGGGTTTGCATAATTGCTACGCTTAGCGAGCGGCTTGGCAACCTCAGATTTTCCAGTCTCGCAGTTTTCCAGGTTTACCTTAAATGCTGCTGCCCGCTATAGCCTGCTTAGGCCTTCTTAAGGGGGCTGCTTAATTAGTTGGTGGCTGAAAAGGCTGAAATGATGATGAAGACGATTACATTATCAATAATGGCTCGAAATACACTTCAAATTGTATTGAAAGTCAACACGGTCTGTGAAACTCGAATACATATCAAAATTTGGTGTTAACTTTTTCCAATTATTGCAAAAAGTAATCGACAGTTCGAGGGTTCTACAGAAAACCCTATTTTTGAGCCTATATTTCCGTAAAGTGCTCATCGTGATAAACGAGATTTCAAAATTCATTACCTGGCCGAAAATTACGCACGGGTTATTTGACACAGTGATTTGTTTAAGACATTTATTTAATGCTAATACTTTGCAGGTCTTCCGTGTTTTTTTGTAATTTTCTTACCAATTCGGACGTTATTAGTGGGCTCTCCCAAGTTTCAAACGACAATATGCATTCGACTATTAAAGCTGTGATATTATTAATTTCAATTTTACAATCTCTAAAACACAGATGCATAAGCATCGGATCTTAGTGCTTGTCACATTTATGTTTATAAAAAATTATCCGCAAAATATTTACGACACTTTATAGTATGAGGAGCATTCACTATATTCTCGGTGTCGGGGTGATATACTTTCTAATTATGAGGCCAATTAAATACACTTTTTCAGGGTTTACAAATATAAAGTTTCATTTAATTTTCACCATCAGTCGCCAAGATAACTTAATCTGATAAATTAATCTATTCTATTTAACAATTTATTTTTGAGAAAGTAAACAATCACTAATGTGATATATCTCGTCAAGAACCGGTCAAACGAATGCGTTTAGCTTGAATTGAATCGAGACGGTTAAGGCCCATTTACACGGTGCCAGTTTCTTGCCTGTTGTATACAATTAAATTGAAGCAATAAATGAGTTGCATGGTCTAAACAACAAATGGTCTTAACAATTATTGCGCGCAATTTATTGCATTCAATTATTGCTCTTGTATGTACAAGAAAATGGTATCGTGTAAATGGGCCTTTAGACTTACGGCACAGTTCGATTCGAGGTGTTATTGAGGCCGTTTATAATTAACGTTGCTCATATTGTCGAATGCGATATATTAATACATTTATATCTATATGTTAATGCATTGCTTCGCACAATGTTCGGTGTGTATACACCCCTGCTTAATATTATAAATGTGAATGTAAGTTTGTTTGTTACACTTTCACGCCAAAACTACTCAACCGATTATCGTGAGACTTTGTACACATATTGTTAGAGGTAATAAAAAGGAAATAGGAATATTTTTATTAAACAAAAAAATATTGTTGTAAAAGGACATTTATTTAAGGGATTCAACGCGAGCGGAATCGCGGGCAAAAAGCTAGTCTTATATATTGTAAAAGCAATTGCGCGGGCCGTGTGCGATTTGACTGATATCGCTGTATGTGCGATAACATAAGACTCTGTGTTTGTTGCACCGATGTCTGAATGATAATTTTGTGCAGTTAATAAGAATACTAGCGACCCACCCTGGCTTTGCACGGGTTCAAGGTATTATACATATAAACCTTCCTCTTCAATCACTCTATCTAGAAAAAAACCGCATCAAGATCCGTTGCGTAGTTTTAAATATCTAAGCATACATAGGGACAGCGGGACGACTTTGTTTTATACTATGTAGTGATTATAAACAAGTCTTAAATCGAATGTGGAAGGCAGAAGTGGCTAGTCCCTTTTGTCGGATATAGTTTTCGCTTCCACATCAAGGGATAGTGAAAAATAGTCATACGCATAGTCTGGGGTATTGGAAGATATTCAAACTGCCGTCGAAATATTACACTTATATTTAATGAATATATATTTTAAATAACTAATGATTACATGACTAGACTCTCAATTTCTCACGACACAATGATTTTTTTATTTAAGTAATTTTAATCAAAAATCGAAATATTTGTACCCTTTTTAATGTACTTCAGTCTTACATATTTCTTTGTAAGGTCAAAACTTTCAATATCACTGTCATTTTATGCACATTTTTTTCTTGAAACCGCCCCGATACCAAAATCTCGTTACGGTCTTAAAGCTCCCGAAGTAGAATAAGTCTCCAAGGACTAGCTAATTGCCGTTTGTCATTTAGATGGATCACATTTAACAAAAACTTAATGAATTGTGAGGCTTCAGGAACTAGGCACCACTCAATAGATAAGAAATACAGAGCAGTTTTTGGCGGTTGCAGTCACGCCAGCCACGCTAATCCTTGTGGTCCAAGACCAAGTGGCGAATCGAGGACGTAGATTCGAATCCAAATGGTTTACAAAAGCGAGCTGCTCTTTCAGATAAGTCACGAACATGCATAACCCCTCGTATATGCCTCGTATATGTCAACACCGTACATATGTAATTATATACATACTACGTAATTACGTACTTATTATACGTATTTACTTAAAAGGTTAAACAACTAATTCCATCTCTTATATAATAGCTCATTCAATTTTCGGTAATTGGTTAAAGAAGTTAAACTAACGCGAAAACGCTTTGCCAATAGGTCATTGTGGGCTGGCATATGTCAGCTTGGCAGGCCTGCGTCTTAGCGACGAGAATAGACAGAGTCATTGATAAAGCACTATGTTCGAGCGATATTTTACAAGCGAATATGCGAATACGCTTGCAAGTAAGGGGTGAGAAGTCAATCGACTTTGCATAATCAATTCAAAGTCAAAGTCACTTTGCCAATTCAGGCAAAAGAACTCAGCGTTGTTTGTCAGGTTTATGGAAATATTTTCGGCATTTATAACAGATGTGAAATACTAACATTGTAAATTTAATGAAGGTATCGTGATCTTGACAAAAGAGATTAAATGCAATTGATAAGGGCTTAATTAAATAACTCGGAATTATAGGTGATAGTCCAAAAGTTGTTATCGTTTGCCATGGTACACTTATTCCCATCATTTTTTCCAAACTCGCCGGAAGAAGTTTAAAATCAAAGAAAAATGGCGAGGGAAACACCCGACATTTACAAATTACAAATTCGGCAACGAACTTACAAATTCGGCAACGCATTTGTAAGCCCTCGGGTGTTGCAGGTGTATGGTGTGTGTGCATGGGCGGCGGTAATCACTTACCATCAGGTGAGCCTGCTGCTCGTTTGCCCCTTTTCTCCATAAAAAAAAGAAAAAATAATCCGACGTCAGTGTCAACAGAGGCACTGACCTCATCGCAGGCGTGGCAGCGCGGCTTCAGCCGTTCCGAGTAGTGGCGCACGCAGTACGGCCTGCCGTCCAGAGCGCAGTACGACAGCTCCACTAGCAGCTCGCCGCAATCCGAACACGTGAAGCATGCCGGGTGGTAGGCCACCTGCATCCCGATAAGAAGTTATACTAAAAACAATTAATAAAATAGACCCTCTAGGTCGCAGTGGTCGTTGGGAGTTGCTACTCAACCCTTCCACACAAATCATAAACATAACAAAGTCTAACATTAATTAATTTCAATAGTTACAGGCAAAATATAATATTCTCTGTCTATATTTTCTCTGTCTTTGGTAAATTAAATTAGACTCTTATCCTCCTTTAAGTCTTCTCATTTGTTAAAACGTCTGTAATTACCCTCTTATTTTGGTACTTTACAATACTAGTGATTTTTACTGCATTAAAGATATTGAAAGTTTAAGTTTTAATTTATAGCGAAAAATGTAAATATACAGTATTGGAAGCAACATGTAATTGATGATTAGGACTTATTATTACGATTGTATCTGCGAACTTTGAATATTACAAATTCAACCATAATTCAATACTCGAATTATGAGTGCTTTATTGTAAATGTTACAATGAGTTTGTTTTTACGCCATCTAGTTAACAGTAGTATAAAACTTTGGTACAAAAAAAATTATACTACCTCTTCACCTATCCGCGGCGCCTGCACCGCAATAGACCCATTGCGAATAGGCTTACTGCATCCCATGCATTCGATAGAGGCACCATGATGCTGGTAGGCGATACCTGAGAACAATTTTCTTTACATTATCCCACGAACACGATATGGAAAAAGAATCAAAATTTATTAAAAGCTATTTAATTACCACTTAGTTATTTCATTGTGATTAATTAAACTTCGGTGCAGATTTAAAAAGATTTCATATTATATTAACTGAAAGTGCGATGCAATTATATCCACACTACGAAAAATTAAAAAAACCATCATCGTGCGGCTACTGGACGCTAGATGGCGCCGCTCACCTATATCGAGGGCGATCTCGTTCCTCGCCGCCACGAAGTCCTCGAACTGTTTACGATGGGCGTCATCCAGATGGCGACAGTGGGACAGCGAGAGGTCCTGCTTCGGCAGCTGAGTGGCCAACGCGCGGATCCGCCAAGCGCGCCAAGCGGCCGCCCCAGTGGCGCCACCTACGCTGTTAGGCGCGCGCTCCGCTAGCGAGGCCCAGAAAAGCTCCGTCTGAAATTTTTAACTCCGTCTGAATTTTTTCAACGATTAATTTGATGTTTAAAAATTATTTAAATAACTATGATAATACAGTATACGTCAATGTCAGAAAATCGGTAAATCGGTAAGTACCAAAGCCTCAAAGAAAAACGGCGTGTAGTGAATGAAGCCCTCTGATTTTGCCCATGTCGGCGAGCAATGTTGAGCATCCATCATCAGGTGAACTGTCTATCTAACAAAATGTTAAAGGCACTGAACTGAGGCTTGGAATAATTTGAATCTATCAACTCATTTTTTTATGTGAGAAAGTGGCAAACGAGCTGGCGGCTCACCTGATGTTTAGTGATAACCGTCGCCCATGGACGTTTGCAACACCCGTAGGGTTGCTAATGCGTTGCCGCCTTTAAATACAATGGGCCCCGGCTACCTCACTACATTTTACACTTCTACTTTACACCGGCCTTCTGTAAGGTCGTGCTCCTTACCCGGACGGGCCTGCCCATTCGTGCAACGGTGAACACCGTTGAGTGGTCCTACCACGGTATCGTAGACAAAGTTGAACCCCGAACTGAGGCATGGAATAGTTCGAATCTATTGGCTCACCTGCTTAGCAGTCAAGCCTGGCGGGCTGTCGTAAGCGTGGTGGTTGACTCGCGTATCGCGCAGGCCGAGCCTGTCACGCACCGAGCCGAGCTCCTCGTGGTAAACCGAGTGCTGGAGGCGGTCGCAGCCGCAGGACTTGCAGGTCTTCCTGGAAATTGAAACGTACCGTCAGCTGATATTAAGAGGAACAGCGCGGTTGTTGGTCAAACAACGCTAGATGGCGCTCTTTAAGTCTTTACTCTTTCTGATGCGCACGAATAAGCTCAATTAGTATTACGGCGGCAATTTTAGTTTTGGTTATTATTGACAATAAAATTAGGCAGTCCTAAGAAGGGGGGTTATCCTGTTCTAGAAGGCCAGCAACATATTTGCAACCCCTGACTTGTATCCGCTTGTTCGTCTGTGTTCTTATAAGGAAACAAAAAATTGTCAAAAACGGAGCCTCCGTTTTTATTAGTGGTTATTTTAGTTGGATTGACGTGCATTCATACTTAATTGGTATGATTGCACGGAAAATTCGCAAACTGAAACACCTACGGCTTCTTAAGGACCTTCTTGAGAAAGTTATTTTTGCATGTAAGAGGTCACGTCATAAGTCAGGTGTAGGTCATAAATCATGATTACGTAGGGTTTTCCATGATACTCATTTAGAAGTACTGTTTCCACCCTATTTATTACAATTTCCATCAACAATATCTTCGAGAACATTCACAAAACAAGTGAAAAAAGTTCCATCACCTCGGATAATGTTTCTTAAGTTTTCGATCGTGAATATCACAGTATCTTCACAGAAATCAGTTATCAAACAATGATCTATAAAATTAAAATTTATGTTTCGAACGCGTGTCGAAGCTTTACCAAGTCTTATGTTTGACTTATTTTTCTGCCCAAGCACCAAAAGTTGTTGTATGTTGTGTTATTTTAACTCTAATACAAAACTTTAATCTAAAAAGTAGTCGCCAGTGATAAAAAGGTTTAATAAATCTCTAGATGTTCCAGAATAAGCCGATATAAATTTAGCAGACGCGACAACCATCCGAGAGGAGTGACCAACTCTTAGTCTTTTTGGCGGAATAACTGATCTCAAGTGGGGTGAAGTTCAACGTATAAATAGATTCCAGATTTACCCATACAGTGACCACACATGCCACGTTTTAAGGATTTCGGTATAGCTAGTTGTTTTGTCTGACTATGTGAAAGTGTCTGGTAATAGTTACAGATGTAGACTGACCCGATCCTAGTTATTATTAGAAGGGTATGTGAGTAACACTATTGTGTTCCTAACATAAGGTTGCCAAACGGGGTCATGGAGAAAAGAGGGTGAAGAAAGAATTGCTATCTGTCAACGTAAAATAGAAAGAAGTATGCCTGGTAAAGCCGTGATAACTCAGTGTCCGGACGCTCGCCTCAAATTCAATTTACTCGAGCAACCTGAGTTCTATCCGGTGAAGGAAAACATCATGAGCAAACCCGAAAAGTACGTTGTACGTACGAATTATCGTTGTAAAACGACCATTGTTTGTATGCTGGAAAGGATATAACATAGATTCGCCAAGTAATGCTTTAGAAAGAAGCTTAAGACGTCGCTGTGGCTATCACGTGCTAGAGCGTCAGGCCGCGAAAGACGTGGGTTCGATTCCCACAGCGGCGACAATCTTTTCGTACTTTTTCTACATGTTTTAATGTTCAATCTTAGGTGCAGAGATTAGCACTATAAAAAACTTTAAAACCTGCATATATTCTTAAAAATATAAGCACCAAACGTTTGTAGATCGTTTTACGTCTACATATAACCAACAATACATACAACCTCGAGATATCCTTTTCAGGCTCTGTGTCGTGATCAGCTGTCAATAGTCGTGTTTGCCCAAATAAAAGACACAAACGCATAATTGGGAACATCAGAAATTACACAATACACGGCGAACGCGGAAGATATCATACGAGTAGGGTTGGCATAATGAAAGCTTCAGTTAATAACACCTGATAATAAATAGGCAGCTCGGTCCGAACAAAACTTACGTTGCTGCCACTACGAGCTCTGACATTTCTAGAAAATATTTAAAATGCTGCCAACCCTACCAGCGTGGGCTGCAACGCTCGATTTGCATGTACAAACGATTCGACATATAAACAAGCGTCGTGACGCTGACCCTATACATAATAAGTCCCGCGTGACCGTCCGTCACAATTCAATGGCTTCGCTGAAAACGTACGACACTAAGCGAAATATCTTAATGCAGGTTTGCAAACAATATTACTCATTCGAGCAGCTTTAACCGTGACGGATTGGATGATGCGTCGCCTTGAATCTCGTTAGTAGCTACTGCTTCGCTCGATTTCCGCACGGAACGAGTGTTTATGACCCCTAACCGATATAAACTGGGGCGATTGCCCATGTGAAAATACATAATTTTAACATACTGCAAGGTTTAATGAGACAGTGGGTAGAAACTACATTCTTTTAATCAATCATTAACTGATTTTTCGGGTTTATTTTAAACGTTTAGGTTTAGAAGGCTTTGCTGTCATGCTTTGAGTCATGGTCAAAGTTGGAACAGACTGAGGCTTCGGACGCCCGACTGTCATTATTACGGGCTACCGACGGCTTTTAAAATTATTTATATAATGCCTGTGCTATCTACGCTTCTTAACTATTAGTTATTCTACTTCTAGTTCTGGTCAAATCTTATCTTGCAGTGGTTATGTTCTTTACTTTAACTGTGGTAGGGCCACGTAACAATGTTCACAGTTGCATGAATGGGCAGGTCCGTCCATCCGGACCAGTACAAGAGTTACACTGCGATTCGTTTGGTGAGTGAGGTAGCTGGGGCCCACTATATTGAAAGATATCAACGCATTTGCATTTATTTTTATTTTAGTATGTTTATCGTTATATTTATTTATTTTATAGTATTACATGTTTCATAGTTTTATTTACTTCTATTAAACCATAAAATTATTTATTTTTATATATTTATAGCTTACAGTATAAGTATATCTAGTTGTACACATCTACCCACTTACCTATCAGAATTTTTCTGTAATCTTATCTCAGGAGTTTGCTGGTAGAGATTTCTTTGTAGGGTTAAGCTCGCCTTTGTATGTTTTTTATAACCTTAACCTTGTTTTTGATATTATATTGTGTACAATAAAGAATAGAGAAAGAATTAAGAACACTATTTAAAAGTCCTGTTACCCCTTTTCATCAGCTGATACGTAATACCCAACTAATATAGTTCCAAACTTGACAACTGACAAATCTATAGAAACACATCAAAAATTTACAAGGCTATTTATACAGAGTTGTTTGGAAGTAGACTCAACGTTGAAGAAATGTCAACTCAAAATGTATACTATAGATAGACAGACAAGATAGCAAGGAAATAAAAAGTAGAGAATAAGACTCGAAACTAATAAAGTACACAAACTCATCTTCTAATGAGCAGTTTAAAATAGCACAAGAACAAAACTCAAAACTCTCCATTCTCGCAAGAATGTGACGACAATTTCCTCTAGTGATGTACTTAAGGATCATTGGATCTGTAATCGCATCATAAAGCATCGACCGCTCGTCCGTCATGGCTTTGTGAACATTATGCGAATCGTATTAATACGATAAGTGTTTTAAATCATTGCCCTCGCTTAATACGATATGGTGCATTGCCTATCATAACTGCCACACTTATCAAAGATACATATCCTTAAATATGAAAGTGTAATTGCTAATGTAAAAAGTTAATTAGCATTAATTTAGTTTTAGTTCTTAAAGTTCCATAAGCTCTTCTCAAAGATCGTATATGGAAGCACCAGATCTATCTAGTTTTTTCTCTTTTTCCATACTTTACGAGTTGGAAAGACGAGCTAATGGTACTAAAATTCAATGAGTCTTACTAAATCTAGGCAGCGCTATTTGGGAATAAGAGTTGATCTCGAACCAATCTCCAAATACGTAAATAGTATCGATTGTGAAGAACCTTATAAAAATCGTGACATAATGTTGAAGAATCAAAATTTTCTAGTACTCTTAATACAAGCGTTGCTTAGTTTGGGACTAGAGAACGTTGTACATAAAAACGTGTCCGCAAATATTTATTTATTTTTTTTTTCTTCTATAATAACATTTTGTAACTTTTGAATCTCTTGCTGCACCTATCACAAGCTGACCGCTTCCTGGGTTGACTGGTAGAGAATGGTTTCGGATGTTAATTCCGCCCTTTGTCACCTTTTTCATAATAAAGCACTAATAAATAAATGAATGCTTCATTGTCTATATTTATGTCGAATCACTCTCGGTCAGACTCGTGATGAACTATCATTTTTTGCAAATCCATCCCATATGGTGGACAGTACATCAGGCAAAATGTAACATGTCATCTCAGAACCCTCTATAAGGCTAAAATACATGTCCAATTTCAGATTCCTTATTACATGGATCCTCAATGCTTCCTACTCGCGTATCGTACATAATATCACTCACGCGCCTCAATGAATCACACAGAAGGGACAATGATATAGGACAATATGGGACATTTCCCGAATATAAAAAAGAAGTCAATAAAAGTCGAGAAGTAAATATTAAAAACAAGCATATTTAAAGCCAGTCGTAAACCAAATGAGCATTCGTAGGGTATAAATAAGAGTTTTAATAAATTTAAAAATCGGCCAATAGCGTGTCGGACTCGAATACGAATAGTTTCATACCATTATCTCTAAGAAAAACAAAAAGAATCATGTCTATTGTATGGGAGCCCCACTTAAATTAATCATTTGTCATAATTTAGATTACATTAAATTCACTTATTTTTATTTTTTATTATCATTATTATTTTTTATTTATTAAATTACATTAAATTTAGATTTAGAGACAAAATAGTCAGCGGAGTCTTATGACAGGGTTGTTTTGGAACCCGGAAACACGTTCTGGAAAAAAGAGCAGCTTGATAAAAATAGTGACACAATAGCAATTTCGTGTTTTTAAATAAAGAATTAGCACAGTAACAACTTACTATTAAATACATACTGAAGTTTAGTCTTTAATGACATGTACTTTCGAAAGTGCCTTCACCTAGACAAGGTAATTATCATTCTAAAACCTTTGTCCGCCAGTTGACAGAATCGTGGTGAGCGTTCGCGACTAAAATATGACAGAATCCGGAACACACTGGCAACATAAAACAGAGTTACGTACTCCAAAGCTATTTTCGGACGGAGCCGTATCGCGGGCGCGATTCGTTTTCGGAGACGTGATGGCTAAATTTCGTAGGTGAGCGGTTACGTGTCTATTTACTCTCACTTCCTGTTGTGTACATGAACTGGCTCAACTAGTTAAGCCTTTATTTTTTTTAATCAGAATTTATTTTGGGGCTTACATCCTTTTGTGGATTAGTCAACCCCATTGTGACCATCTCATTTATATACTTAGGAATACCTACACTCTATAAGCATTTAAATTGTGCTCCTGATTCGGAAGTTTAACGTAAAAATTAGTAGCGATAAAAATTTGTAAATAAAATAGAAGAATGTTAGTGAAGCTTGTTGGTCTTCAAAGGATGCTTTCGATGCCGTCCCTAAAACTTTACACAGCTTTGTCCTTCACAAGATCCAAGAAAATGCCGTTTCTTTATCACTATTCATGTAATCTACGCAAATTAAAAAAAAGCAAATAAATTGGCCTAGTGGGCAGTGACGCTGTGAATTTTGTGATGAAAAGAGTTTTTTTATACTTTCTTACTATTTATATATTTATAGGTTATATGTATTTATTTACAAAAGAAAAATACTTTTAATTATGTGTATCAGTTACCTAGAACTCTTAGTACAAACATTGTTTTGTTTGGGACTAAATAAGGTTATGTTATGTCCTCAAATATTATTATTATTTTTTGGGTTTATTTCTTTGTTTTCTCGTCCGGTTGGGTTTATAGATAAAAAATAAACATATAAATATATATTGCATATATAAAATAAATATTATTATTTATTATTATACTAAATAGTATAATAATAATTATTATTATAATTTATTATTATACTATTATTAGGCGTTCAAAATTTACAAAGGCAGGCCATACATCAACTTTTGGCGTGGCGGCCTTGACTATATTCGACAGTGTGAGGGTCACGCAACAGTCTTCGCTGTTGCACGAATGAGCAAACATTGGGTCCGTCCCAGCTAGTACCACAGCTCTAGGAGACCGATGTGAAGTAGCTACTTGTTGCCCACTTTATCGTAAGCATCTGCAACCCTACGAGTGTAAAAAATGTCAATGAGCGGCGGTTATAAGTGTTGGCAACATTAAAAGAAGTCGTTCCTTGAGGTTGTTGGCAACACTAACTGTCATTCTATGACGAATAAATGAAGTTGCACAAAGCATTTCATGGTTTTCTTCTGCTGTCAACAAGAAGTATACAAGATAGTGTTGCCCAATCGGTATCACAAATTAAGTCTTTAGTGGTGTTCCTTTAGTGGTCTAAAAGTGAAGATAAGTGATTATACCAGTGTAATTGTTGTGCAAAGTAAAACTACGGTTATTTGGTAAAAGTATTTAAATTTCTACCTTCTTAGCTCGATAAAACAAAGTAAAGCTAACATAAGTTAAAATCATATGAACCGCCGGCTCGCTTACCACCTTCTCATATAAAAAAAACATATTTAATATAGGGACTTTTATACAAATATGGATATCTATGTACCATCGAACTTTGTGAGTATGTAATTTTTAACAAAACGATTTATATCATCGTCAGCTTTAGAATGCACGTTATTGTCTTGAGCTATTTTGTGTTAAAGGGGAGAGTGATCGCTTTTTTACCAAAGCGATCATTTCTTATATCAAAAGAAGGTGGCAGCCCTAGCTCATCCTCAAATTTTTTTTTTACCATAACCAACTGTGTTCGTTTTTTATCGAGAACTACCTAGCTCTCGGCTACTATCCTACCAAGTGGTCAATGCAGGTGCAGCCGTAAATGGTATACCATTAGCTCAGTACAAATAAGATAGGCTTATAGACAATCGTAGGCTTCTCTTGCCTTGAAGACGTCCACA